GTCCAAAAAAGACCGTCGGAGTTACGGGAAATTACGCCGGAGTTACGGGAAATTACGCCGGAATTATGGGAAATTACGCCGGAGTTACGACGTGCCAGTTTTTGACAAACTCTCTGCAAAACATTGAGATTCTGAACAACACATGTTCCACAGCCCAAAACTTGTCCGGCAGGCTCTGCAAACCTGCGCAGCTAGAACTATATCCCAGCGCCCCGACATCCTGAAACAATGGGAGTACATTTTTGCCTATGCTCTTTCAGCTTAGGTACGCCCACTTGGGTCTTTCAACAGGTGCATCGCACTGTACCGGCTTCATCCGATTTCATTTAGAAGATCACCTAAACGGATCTCATTGATCCGGTGTGAACCATGCTGAAACCGATTGAATGAGAAAACAGCGGAACAGGCAAACGAGCACACTTTGCAAACAAAATCATTGCCTCAGTAGTGGGTTTACCTTCAAAGAAATGTAGACCACAAAGAATGCAAAGCCTTGAGAATCCACATAAAGTGACTTGGAAAAAGCGCCGGACCAAATCCAGAAAAACGCCGGGGTTGGAAGTCCGGCGCCGGACCCTGTAAAAGTGCCGGACTGAAGATCTAGGTATGCAGCGGACACTACGGCAACGTCCTCGCCGTCTTCAGGCTCGGTCGGCGGCACCAGGGCGGAGCCCTTACAATCCGGGCGCCGGCCACGAAGCCCGTGCCCTGCCCGGAGGGCCTTCGGTGGTAACCGAAGGTTATAGACGCTGGCCCTGGCTGCCGCCGACCCTCGGTCCCAAAACGGGGGGACCCCCAGGTCACTTCCTGTCAACTGATGCCCCTGTAATTTACAGTGTATCGTGTGTGTGAGGTATTAAAAACACTATGTTTTACAGGGTTTCGGGCCCCTCGGCAGCCGAGAATTTCATCTTGGCGATGTCAAAAAACCTAGGTTTTTCATGGTTTTTGCTTTGCGGGAAGGAAAAAATCGTAAAAAGTTGTCTCGGAAGATTTTTTCAACATAAATCGCCCCACATAGGCCCAAGATAGCCAACATATCCCCAACATATGCCCAACATAGCCTCCAAGATGGCTCAACATAGGGCCAACATAGGCCAACGTGGGGCCAACATACGCCAACATAGGCCCAACATAGGCCCAACATAGGCCCAACCTAGGCCAACATAGGCCTAACATAGGCCAACATAGGCCCAACATAGGCTCAACCTGGGCCCAAGATGTGCCCAACATACACCACATGGGCCCCACTTGGCCCAACCTAGGGCCAAGATGCGCACCAGATAGCTTAACTTTGCTCAATATAGGCCCCACCAAGGCCAACATGGGCGTGACATACGCCCCACAGACCCAAGTGGGCCGGCGCCCGGCTGTTAGGCGTAAGCCTTTAAATCCGGCCAGGGGCACACGGGGCCCCGCCATGGCCGTGTCTTTGCCGTAGGCATCTCTCCTCTCCGAAGGAGAGAGTGGAGTCACCCCTCCGCCGCCGACCCCTGCGGAATACTGTGTTTTACAGTGATTTCTGCTTCTTCCATTTTTCCGGCTTTGTGGTTCAAGATGGGTCACCATGTCCCAACATAGGCCCAAATAATGCTGGAAATGCGTGGCGCACCGGGGTGCTTCGTCTGCAACCACCACAATGACAACCCACAACCACCACCACCACAACAACCACCACAACAACAACCCACAACCACCACCACCACAACCACAACAACGACAACAACAACAACAACAACAAGAAGAAGAGCAACTGCAACAACAACAACAACAACAACGCCCCCGTGCCCTTTTTCCCTGCCCCCTCCCCTTTGCTTGAGCCCCTGGCCGGCTGTCGGGTGTAAGCCCTTAAATAAGAGGATTAGTTATATTAAAAGCTCTTTGTTCAAAAGAAAGTCTTCCAAAAATAAATAAAGAACAGAGGAAATTTGTCCGCCCCAAGTGCACTAACTGCACCAGATACTCCTCAATTCGGTTCTATAATTCTGTCGACGATATATATATATATAATATATTATCACATTCAGCTCGAGGCATCTCTTTGTTTTCTCTGCTGCTCACCGGTTCCACAACTCTTCAGCTCAAGGAAAGCCGCTCAAAAGAATTGGCATGCAATTGCGGTTCTTCTCACAGCTGGAAGCCAAAATAGTGTGGGCCCAACTTCCCGTGTGAAATCTCCAAAATCTTTGCACTCACCCAGCGATCACGTCTTTGAACGAAGCTGGTTCCTGAAAATTTGCCTTCAATGGCGGTGACCGTGAGGCCTTGATGCACTCTGGTCTGGCAGGCAGAACATTGACAGCCACTTCGGTGAGGTCTCCATCGCTGCTTGCCTTCTTGTCAGGCCTTGGTACAGGTTAGGATGAAATGCTTCTTGCGCTGCTTGGTGCGTCTTCCTTGATGCCTGGGCGTTTTCTCATGGATGTAATGGAGCGGGTCAGAGTAGATGGCCTCTAAACGGGCGGCAGCATGCTGGTGGCATGGTCTTCATCAATGCGGTTTGCCAGAGCCTGTGAGGCGGGTGGCCTGATGTCCTTCTGAGAACTCTCAGTCGATGCAGGTGCCTCGGACGAAGGCAAGGTAGGTATTTTTTTGGCCCGCGTCAAAAGGGACACGGCACACTTGATACATGTCAAGTAGCCTTTGGTCTCCTGGAAGCCGCGCCTGTCTTTTGGCGGCGGCGGCGTTTCCTGGAGCCATAAGAGGTCAAGAATGAGCTGGGCCCGTGTAGGGTTGCGTGTTCGGTAGGCCTTGTTCCTGAGGCCTTGCCTCAATGACCTCAACTGTGAGGCCTGTGTGGTTTAGCGTGTCTGGCGCTTGGTGCAGAGTTTGTTACCAGTCTTCTTGGCGACGGCTGTAGGGGGTCAAAGCCGAAAGCCCTTTCCCACGCCGCCACTCCCGCGTCTCCTTGACTTGCTTGAGATGTGGTTCCCTTCCCAGCGCATCAGGAGTCGTGGTATTTCTGCTGACCATACAGTTCTGTTTGAGATACGCAATTGGCCGGGGCCAGTGGTCCCTTAACATGGTAGTGGCAAGCGGTCTGCTAGCCAGGCTTGGATCAGGGCATGCAGGGCCTTCAGGCGCTGCAGGATCATTTGGTCCGCTGGGTCTTGGTACTGCTTGCTGTGGATGTCATAAATGACGTCAAGGGCTCCTCGTGGTGCCTGCTGGTATTGGGGAGCTAATCCTTGACTCTCGCCCCCCAAAGTGCGGGCGGTTGAGCGCCCCCGCGATGAAGGCGCGCAAGCGGGTCCTCAGATGGGACAGCTTCAGGGTACGCAGCTTGATGCTTCTGGTCTTCCACAAATCTTCAAAAGCCCCCCGCCATGAGTGCCCTCACCAAAATTGTGGTCTGCATCAGTCAGCATTGTCACTAGTTCATTTGTATCGTCATGCTGGAGTTGCGTGCCCCCTGCAACCAACTGCGCGTGACTTCCCAATGTCGTGACGAGCCATCACATGAAAAGTCGTCATCGTCCGGCAAGGGCGTGATAAGTCCCCTTTCAAAGTCATCACGCAACTGTTACCCACAAGGCCCACAGGTTGCTGGAGTGGCACGGGTCCTTTTCCTGCGCTTGATGGAATGCTCTGCGCCCTCCTCCGACAGGGAGATGCCCAAACTGGTTACAAAAAGTTTCAAAGGAATCTGTTCGGCTTCCTCGGCAGGTGTGGTAGTAAGCTCTGCTGGAAGAACTCTTGATTGACTGCTTTCATGTAATCCTTAGAGAGCGCCTTCATGGCTTGTTGGCCGTCTGTCAGCTTGGACTGGAGGTCTTGCAAGGAGGCGTATTGAGCCTTGACATGGTCCAGTTTGCCCTCCAATTGTGTTTTGCGGACTGGGTTCTTTAGGTCAGAGACCTGTGACTCAAGCTGCGCTGTTCAGTCACTGGTTGAGGAGTGGTCAACTTGGTGAGGACATCTTGTACTTGCTGTACGGGAGGGCCGCCATATGGGTCTTCAACAAGTCTTTGAGCTGCGGTTCTTCAGGCCTGCTGGGGCCGTAGCCCAGCCTGCAGCTTGCCTTGCACGTTTTCCGGGATGGCTGGTGAATGTAAGCAGATCAGAGGCTTCTTGCTGTGCCTTAGAGCGCATCAAGGGAGTGAAACGGGTCAGCCAGGGCGGAGGTGCAAGCAGTGCTTCTTGAAAGCTTTTCTTTGACCATACGTTACCTGGATTGACTGGTAGATGGCGTTGACGTCCACTGCCTTTCCCAGTAGCCTTTGCCACCATTGGCCACATTTCCGGCAGCGAGTACCGGGCTGTAGTTTGTCGTCCCATATTGAATTGGTGCAAGAGCCGTGGCGACAGACTGCGTAGGTGCGTCCCCATTTTGCGGAGGCCATCGTAGTCATACTCGAGGGTCAAATGCAAATCCTGGGGTCCCTGGATCAGTGGCGCTTGATGGCAAGGGCTGTGGCACCCAACTCGAACAGGCCGGAGGTCTCTTCAGTCACATTGCCACAGTCACGAAGAGAAAGTCCTCCAGGTTGAGGTGCCGAGGTCAAAGTCCCCGAAAAAGGGTTGCCCGTGAAGAAGTCCCTCACTATTATGAGCAAAGTCCAATGCCCTGGTGGAAAGCAGGGATGGGGTGTCACCCACGAGGTCCACGGGCCAAATGTTTGTAGCGCGGCGCCGCGGGAACCGCACCAAGTGGGTTTCAGGGGACCACCTTGATCACTCGCGGCTTGAGCCATGTATGTACCCTGTCTGTCTGGTCTGGTCTAGTCCGGTCCGGCCCGGTCCGGTCCGGTCGGGTCGGGTCTGTATGTATGCATGCATGCATGTATGTGAAATCTTAAGCATTCCCTGCCTTGTTGCCTCACTTGAGAATTCCTTGCTGTTTGAGCCCAAAAGGCCGAATTGAATTGCTCAGTGCTCTCATACACCAGAGGCTCGGTTCAGTCTGAGGACCGAACTGAGAGCAGAAACGTTACAGTTACAGATTCTGTAAAAGGGCAAGCTCCAGACTTCAATCATTCCCTTCAGGCCCAGTTTTGTAGCCCTGCATAAGTTTGCTCTGTGAGCTGCCGGAAGAGGAGTTGGTGAGAGTTTGCTCAGCCTAGCGCCTGACTTGTCAAAGAAACAATTTGCTATTCTCGTATAGTATAGCCTGAAGACAGGCCCGGGCAATTGTATCCATGTCTTACATCTCCTGGCTCTGCAATGATTGCTTTCTTTCGGCAACCTTGAAGCCAATGCTCAATACCCTGAACCAGCTTCACTCTGCTCAACCACTCCTGGCACAAGGATCTGTTTCTGCTTGCTTCAAACTTGCAGGAAATTGAGCTGTTCCAAGCATTCCTGGTGAGAGTAGGTGGTCTTACTTCCAAGACTGACCTCACCAAAGGCACATGTCGCAAACGTCTAGTCCGCTCTCCCTGCTGAAGGCCGCACTTCCATCCAAGCATGAACATGTTGTCGTACCTGAACAATGCTCGTTGTCACATCAGGATTGTCTTGTGTTTAGGGAGCAGCACAAAAAGGATGCTACGTCTATATACGTGGTGCGGTATATAATTCGAGAAGCAACGATCACACAAAGACCAAAGACTGTTTGGGCGCTCTTTCTCCGGCACACACTCCCCTTGATATAGTTGTGCCCACAAAGTGAGAGTGTTAGGCATTTCCAGGTTACCTGCACAAGCACCTCTAAAGGAAGCTAACAGTGTTTTGCCTTCGGTCCAAAACCCAAAACCGTGCGCACTGAAACCGTGAAGAACATGGGAAGGCCACCCAGCAGGAAATTTGTAAAAATTACATTCATAAATGCTTGACTCACATGCTCACAAGCAGTTCAACGGACAAATGAATCAAAGAATATAATCCCAGCAACAAGAACCGTAAAAACTGAGTCTGGCCAACCTACAGTGCCGACTTTGAAGAGCGAATTGTCACATATTTCAGGGGCACGCTTTGTTGTTCCATTCGAATTTCTTGCGAGAGAAGCTCGGTCCTCTGCAATAATGTCGTGAGCCACAGTTGAAACATCAAAATATAAATCTAATCTCATCATCCTTCTTTTGGCTTGATCTCTCTCGGATTGTTTGAGACCCATTGTGCGAGCTTTGACCTTAGATGTAAACAAGTCTGTATTCCCAACTGCACAGCAAAATGATTGTGCAATTCTTCCAGTCGCAGGAATGGCTTCTGCAAACGTCTCCAAGCGGCGCATTGTACACTGCTGGTGTGTACCAGGTGCCATCCTTAAGCAACCCAAAAACTTCAAAACTTGCGAACTGCAACATTTGTCTTTCTAGGTCTTCGTTGTCCTCACATCCATCTAGCTCAGAAACATGATACATGAGCTCGCGGAAATTATTCAAAGGCGGCTGGAGGCAAGCATTTACAACCTGGCAAATGGCTTTGAATGCGCAAAACCATACAAAACCACCAAATTGAAAAACAGGCCTCTGGGGAAGCATCAACAGGGATGTCAATGCAAGACACGAGCACTTGAGGCCTTTGCTCAACAGTTTTCAGCGAAAGCACCAAGATGCTGTGCACGCCCCTTCCTCCGAGGCAAGTGCATATCTGCTCTCATGTTCCTGGCAGCTTCCCACACGGCCTTGCAATGTGTGGGGACAGCCAAGCTGCAAATGCTAAGCTGGATAATCAAACCTGCCTTCTGGATGTTGTTGCGGGCCGGGCCAGACCTTAAGCTCTTGAGTGAGACATGTGTGCACGAGCAAGAACAAAAACACACTTCCATCGTGAGAATTACGACTTGCATTCCTTTGACCGTTGTGATGATTAGCTTGGAGAAGACAGGTGCAAACAGCAAACAGTTGTCTCATTGCTTGGGTTGTATTAGTATCCGCTATTCTTTCAGGATTGGGCTCCGCCATGGTGCAGCTTGACTTAAACCCAAACACTGGAAGGAAACAGCACAATGTAGCCTGACAAAACTTAGCTGAAGGCCCGATATCCATTTCCCTTCCAAAGCAACCTCTGGTGATAATCACCAAAGGGATGCCGTCCTGAAGAGATTGTCCTGCGATTGGCTCCAGCAAACACTTGGTTCATGGGTCATGTTCTGTCCTAAAGTTTGCACTGGCGTTGGCATCTCTACTGGAAGGAAGGTCTTGGAAAGCTGGAATGTGCGCAGCCTGAGAGAATCCAAGTTGGTCGGTCAAAGTTCAGAATGTTGTCAAACCGCTCAAGGTCTGAGGCACGAACAGTGCAGTTAAATGGACACCACTGACCTACACATGCACATATGTAATGATTCCAGGAACAAATTCGCCTCTCCAGAGCAAATCCAAGGCACGTATATGCCTTTGAATACCCCAGTGGCATCAACACCGCCAGCCACAATGTCACATTGGCCAGAACCATCCTTCCCGCAATGCACCAGCCAGCAGGTGCAGAAAAAAAGCTGGTCGAAAATCAGTTTGATTTCGTCCGATACCCATGTCCTCCAACCAAGGCTGTATTCTCTTCAAGGGGGGTGGTGCCAATCCACCGCGCAAACCTCAAACAATCTTCAACAAAAATCCCCCTAAACGTGAAAACCGAACATGTTAAGAAAGGAGAGAAAGGCTGGCAAAAAGGTATTGCGACTAAGCGGGAACTCCTTTCCATTGTGCAAAAATGTGTTTTTGCACCGAATGTTGGTGCTCAAACCGCGATTGGTGAGTTGAACTGAAAAATTGAAATGCCTCAGGCCTCAGGGAAGGCGGTTTCTTGATGGAAATGATGCATGTCATCACGAAGCTGGCAAGTAGACCATCAAAGTAGTGAGCGCAGCATACAGAATTATGTTGAAAGTTGCCATTGTACCATTGTCACATTGTCCGTTGTGTTAAGTTCCATGCAACCACAAACAAACCAGCATTGCTAGTTCCTAGATTCAACGCAAAGAAACAAAACCACTCAAGCAAATGGCAGAAACACTTTTGGTGGTGGTGTCATTTGATGAAGAAACCTTTTGGCTATACCAAACAAAATGCACACTTTGGAGTTTGCGCATATTATGTTTTGGATGGTCAGGATTACACCGTTTTAACTGAGCCAGCATTTCAATTATATATGTATATGTTTCAAGGAGTTTTGACACAAAAATGCTTTGCATTGGTTGTCTATGTTCAATACAAGAAACGACATGTTGCATTGATTCAAGCAAAAGCTTGTGTCACTGGGTCAAAAACAATGTTTTCAAATACGGTAGTCTACCCGTGACAACAACCAGTCTGATTTTTTGGTTGTTTACTGAGCGGCAAAGGACCGCTGGGGTACTTCCGTCTGATACGCTTGGTTGGCACGGCATTGACGCACTATGCAAGTAGGAACTTCACCGCTGTTTTCCCACAACGTGTGAGAAATGTAGGGGGAACGTCACGTTTCAGTTTTTGGGTCACAGACCGCGCATCGTCCTGCTAGCACAAGCAGTTCAAGGTTTCCGGCCAGTGTACAACCAAGTTCCGGTTGGTATGTCAGGCATCGTATGGCAGCTAAAAAGCTTGTGATGACATAGACATAGTATACAAAAAGGGGGAATATTGAAGCGCAACGTCCGCAGAAGCACGCTTGCGGTCCCGACGAAGACTGATGTGGCAGCTCTGCGGAGCATTGGTCCACAACACGCGCGCCTTCAGTGCCACAACCAACTTCATAATTCTGGATTATCTGTGCCTCGGTATCCACATCTAGGCTTTCGGTGTCGATACACAGCCTGATCGACTCCTGACATTTGCGGCGGCGCCCACCGTCTACCGACGGGCTTTTTGAAAGATGTCTCCGTAACTTTCAACTTCCAGCAATAGCTCTCTCCGGCGCTATTTTGTTGAACGTCCGGCTGCTGGTCAGCAAGCCCGTCGCCGTGGACGGGGGAAGCGCCTCTCGCGCACTATTGGGCAGTTGCGCGCTAGTTGGTAGCGTGGGTTCGTCTTCAGTCGGAATTTTTGCAGCAACGGCGACAGCAGCACTCCGGAGCTTGCTGCGGAACGTCTCTGGAATCTGCTCCAATCTGCGCTGGAATCTTCAACAGTGCTCCGCAACCTGCTCGCGAACTTGCTCCGGAACTTGATCTGGAACCGGATTCTGCTCCGGACCTTGCTCCGGAACTTGATCCGGAATATGCTCCGGAATTTGTTCCAGGGGCCAGGGCCTGCTCCGATCTGCCCAGAGGTCTTTACTATGGCTGAAGACCCCTAAGCTTCGCTCCCGGGCACAACTCAATGAGAAATAGCACCAACCTTTAATCAGGCATTTCCCATGACACTAAATTTAACAAACATCAAAACCCGACGGCGTCCAGCTCTTTTTTCATCTGGGCCGGGATGCTAGGAAGACTAGCGTTTCCAGCTTGAATGAGAGCAGGAGCTAAGGCTTCGAACGCTGGTTTTTGTCACTTGAAGCTGACGTGCTGGAACTGCTGAAGGCAGTGTTGTGGTTCTATTGTTGAAAGGCAGTGTAGTGTTGTAGGTCGTCTGCAAATCAGGTCCACAAAACTTTGAGGCAGTGTTGCAACATCGTTGCGTCAGCTTTTAGCAGAAAAAGCAAAACGCATGTCAGCATGTCAGGAATTAGCAAAATAATGAATGGCCGCTAGAATTGTTACCCGCATTTCATGAAGTCAGAACTCAAGTAGGAGATATGGTGGGGAACATGTGCGAGAAAACTGTCGATGGCTGAGGCATGAACTGCTCGTTGAAGAAGCTTCTACCCCAGCTCCTGCGGCTCCTCCACGACGTGGGGCCATGAACCTAGCAAGAACTAACAAAACCAACACAACCAGTTGCCAGTCGGGACAGCAAGCGTGATTGAAGCTTGCGTTCAACACACTTACATTATGGTCAGTGGCAAGCATGACTGTCTCTGTTTTGCGTTTCCAAGGGTGGCCAACAATGGTTTGAACAAAACGCAACGCGCACCTTGGGCTTTCAGCCCGCACTTCACAAAACCTAACCCTGCAGGCTGTGAGACCTTGAGATTAAGCTCGCAGGACTTCCCTAGCACTGACAATCACTACTGTAACACGTCTCTCAGAAGTTGGGGCAGAATAAAATCGTAGTCGTACAACCTTGAAATTGCAAAACAGCCTCAGCCCAAGCCACCCAAAATTGGAGTTTCAATGAGGCACCTGTCCCAGACAAAAAAAGCGATCCAACCCAACACCAATCAGGGAATCCGATTCCATTCGCACCACCTGGAGAGCATTCATGCCTGCTTCAACGCGGTGATATTGAAATGAGCTGTAAAGAGGTTTACTGGCGGATAAGGAGCAACATTTTTCGGCAAACTAGAACATGCAGGGGTCAAAAGTAGGGACCGAAGATTCTATATAGCCAATAGCCAGTGGACTTGAACTGGAAGGTCCTGGCAAACTTGCGTTTGGACATTGCTACAGTTCACCCATGACCAATCATGAGCCCTGCAGTTGCACTACAACACCGGCACCAAAACCCACCAGCCCTCCACTCAGCAGTGCAACATGTTCTCTTCTCTACACAGCGGCGCTGCTCGCAGATTCAGGTGGTTCCGTCCGCCCCTGAATGACCAGCCAAACTTGATTGCCGGCCCTTGACCACAAACCACTGAAATGTCACACCTGCTGGGCGGTCCGGCCCAGCCGTTGATGCCGAGCGAGCTCCTGTCAGCTGGGGCTGCTGGCACATAACGCCAAAAAGGGTGGCTGAGATGCGCTCTTTGCGTTGCATGATCGAGAGAAGTGCTTGGAGGAGTTGGAAGTGCAAGGCAGGATGAACGCATACGGTTCAATGCGTGGGGCTCAGAGAGTAAGAGCCGGTTTGAAGGCCTATGTGCGGTTTCCGCCGGGCAGATTTGGCCCACGGCATTAACAAAACAATAGGAATGGGACGGTCGGACCTACCTTCACTGACACGTATGCCGGCACCGGCACCATCCCATCAAACGGCAGGAAGATCAAATGAATATCCTTTCCGATTGTTTTCCCTTGTGTTTTGTGTCCAAGTGGTTGGACACACCTTACTACAGTTTTTCAGAAACAGCTCTGATGCTCTTCAGCAAGAAAGTGGACAAGTGTTCTTGAAGAATCCTGCCATGTTCTTCCTAGTTTTGACACATGGGTTTTGTTTGAACCCACTTGTCCGAGTCTTCCGAAAAGAAAGTTCTAGCTGGCACCCACTCAAAAGTTGGTTAAACGAGTTAACCTGGCAAGAGACCCCAAACAGTGTGTTTACCTGTCCGAGGTCTAGAGGTGTAGAAGCAGAAGGGCTAGAGATCTAGATGCGTTGCGCTCCAGAGAAAGGTGATGGTGGCGCTAATGCATAGTCCTCAATAAGGCACGCTGTGAGACAAGGTAGACGATCAAACCCAAGCAGTGGAGCGCGGCCCGGGTAGATCTCAATCGTAGACGAAAAGGAGGTTTGCATGGCGCAAGCGGACAGCGAGGAAGGATGAAGGGCGAAACAGGCAGGGCGCAGTTTGATCCACTGGTGAGAAGAAGGACAGGAAAGGGTGGGTATATGAAAAATGAGGTGCACAGGAGAGAAAATAACTAAGTACAAGGAAAGATCATTAGAAAGGCGCGCAAGTAAAAAATAATCAAGTCTAAGTATGGCAAAGAGAAAATCAAAATCAGCGAAAAATCTCTTGGGCTATCCGGGAAGAGGTAGGGTCGCGGCGCAGAAAAGATCGTGTCTCCTGCCAATAAGCAAAAGAAGCCAACTCTCAGAAAGGTGAAATCAAGTTTCTGGACCAGCATGATCAAGGTCGATGTTGAGAGTGCGCAGCTCTTCGGGATCGACAAAGGCCCCGGCATACACCAATTGACTCACCGAGCTCCTGCACTTGTACCTGCCACCCACCACATCATAGAAGTGACTCGCTACACTGTCCGCAAAGACTCCTCCTTGCCAAACCACACAATGGGCATGAACCCGCGATAGGCATTCTCCTGTCACAAAGTAGGGCCGGGTTTGTGAGCGCCTGCCACCATATTTGCAGGGGGTGTGGAGAGCACGTTGATACTCGAAAGACAAGCGACTGGAGTCATCAATGCTGCCATCCTCATGGCCATGTCCCTGATAGCAGCAACGACAGTAGAAGCCCAAGCTGGGATGAGTCTCAGTGTTGGTCCAATCACTTGGACGAAGAAAACCCTCGCTCAGAATCCCAATCATAGAGGCACCAGGACAGTTGCGCGCGAAAGAGTAGGTCGTGGCGTAGTGGGAGCATGAGGTCTGGGATACTGAAGATGGTTGGCGATGTTTGTGCAAATGTTTCTGAAACAGAACGAAGCCGTGATCCTGATGATTGATCCGATCAACCTGGCATAGAAATTCAATGAAGTTCCTCAGGTGAGTCGGCCATTGAGAAAGAGGTCGTGAGCGAAAAGCAATGGGGAGCATACACAGCACGCTGTTTCGGCAATGTAGGGATCGGGGGAAGTGGCGCTGCTTCATCCCAACTGCCTTGTCGGCGGCGGTCGCCGATCAACAATCCAGGTATGGTGTCAACAATTGAATCAATATCTCCCAATACGTTGCTGGCCAAGGCGGCAAAGATGTTCTCGGCGCCGGCGCTGACAATGCTGAGCCAGAAGGGAGCGGTCCACAGGTATTGTTGATGACCTGGGCTGAGGCAAACTTCCAGGAACTCGAGGCATAGGCAAACAGCATTGGATTCACGTTCAAGAGCCTCAAGCAAAGGAGGACGATCGGTCCAACGGAGGTTCCATCGAGGTGGTCAAGTCGGGACAACAAGTGTAGTAGGTCGAGGGAGTTCGGTGGCAACCCTACTACGAGGGCGCGGCAAGCGATAGGTGGCTGTGTCTGTGGTGGACGGGTTTGTGGTGGGCGAGCAGGTCGAGGGGCCGCTGCTGCTGTAGCGGTCGTGTGAGAAGGACGATGGCGCAGGGTAATCCGCAACGCACGTTCGTGCAGAAAGGCATCAGGCAAATTGAATTGGCACCAGTGCTTTGGCTACAGTATTGTGGGGGCAGCCATGTGAGAGGGGCTACATAGTGGCAAAGTTAGCAAGAAAACACAACTATCTAATTGTTCTGTATCATGGGAAATGTGTTTCATGTTTTTTCTATGTGGTTCTCTTAGTCTTTTTGTTTGACACAAGGTTTAATGAAAGAAAGCTTGCGGAGTTGCCTGCTGAAAAGAGATTCCTTTGGGCAGGACAACCATTCTATAAAGCAGGATTTGTATTCAAGGCAAGGGACACCCCTTTCATAGAGGTATGTTTGAGAAGAGTAGAACAGCATCCACTCTATAGCCCAACTTTGTGTAGGAATGATCTTCCACTTAAGTGAACTATTTTCAGGTCTGGGCAAGTTGTGGTTTCTAACACATAGAATTCTGCTCAGGCACACATCCTTGAAAGCAGGTTGAAAACGCATCAAACCTTACAGAATGGTAGGAGTCCAGGTTCATAAATCTGACATCGACTGCACAGCAACCTCGCTTTGCAATCGGATTCCCAGGTCCACAAGAACTTGCAAAATGGGTGACCCTCCACTTTAGGGAACATATTGCGTGACTGCTCCATTGTGTATAGAACCATTTTATGGAGGAGCCTGACTGGACCCATTCTAGTGGAAATGTTGAACCGAGATCTTCGGTGTTTGCTTGTTTACCTGGGGGCCTCGTGGCCGCCGGTAAACAGACAAATGTTTTTCGCCGTTTTTGCCACGCTTTCCGTCAAACAAAGACATACCTCAGGAACCCGGGTATTGTGGAAAAAATCAAACGAAACATCTTATATATATATATCTACAGTGTGTAAATATATATATATGTTTTTGTGATACGTACTAGTTGCATAGTATATCTTGTGTGAAACTCCCAGATGCGCACACTGATGAACCGACTGCCCAAGCATTCCGCAAACTCTTGACCAATATACCCTCAGATTATCGGGTCGGATCACTCAAAAGTTTTTGCTTGATGTGGATAGTGCCGCAAATCCCACATGCAAACCTTCCTGCTTTGCGGATATTGTACCGGACACTTTAGCCGACATCTTGATTGTCTTGACTGTGGCATTTACCAAACGTGTCACACGCTTTTGATTCCTGTGTGTGTGTAACCCTTGGAGTCATAGGGATCCTGTTGGATTTGATGTGGCCTTTTTCCTACGCTTTTGGTATTTTAGTGCAGGGGGGCAGTGGTCGTTTCAGCAGTCACTGCCTAACAAAGACACTGCTGTACTGCTGAGAGGCTAAGCCAAGAACCTCACGACACGGTTTTGTTCAGAGCTTCGGTTCACTTTCTGCAGATGTGCACGAGCCGCCGTCACCCTTTTCGACTCGCTCGCCGTCTTCGACCT